TGTGGACTATTTTATCCCTAGTTTCAAATCCTATCAATATGGGTATCATTGGACTCATTCTGATGAACTATTTCCATTCTTTATAATTGATGATCGTGTGGTTGATGAAGTGCTCTGATAGATTTGTTCGAGTGAAGTTTCAGTCTTGAGGTAGGTTTGGCTATCCCTCTTTTAGATTGAGATGAGTAATTAACCATTCTTAGTAATTCAACTGTGAAATGAGTAATAGTTTGAGTCGTAGAAGTTGGAAAGTGTTGACTTCCTTGCTTAGTGTATATGATGCCTATTTGTGATGCTTAGCTTGTGTGGAGGCTTGCTTGATACCTGCAACTATTGCTGAAAATTTGTGATATTTGAGTAATTGCCTAAGCGAGGAATTGTGTGGCACATCTTTATTTTTGAGATTGAGACGGCCGAGTTAGGGGCTTGAGTTCATTTTTGAACATCTTCAAATGAAAGAAATGTTTTCCAAGTGGTAAAGAATGAATTCAAATGGTTTCCTCCATTATCCCTATCATTTGAGGAAGTGTATCATGACTTGTAGAGTTTAGGTACTTGATACTATTTGAAATTCTTGATGAATTGATTGTGACTTTGTGTTGTATGTGTTGTGATGTGTTCATCCTCATGTAGTATATCATTGATCATGAAAATATGAGAAAGTGGAGAGATACTATCTTTTTGAAAAAGAAAATGTGACACATTATTTATATCTTTGACCATGAGCTAGGTGGCAAGTTGATGACATATTGAGATTATGAGATTGGTATATGAATTGCGAGTTCCCCATGGGTCCTTGTCCGGAAGCGAAATGCCCGACATGGTGTATACAAAAGGTTGTGCGATGACTTTGGTACCACCAAATCATTCCATCATCTCATTGCATCGCATTGGCGAGCTTTGTTATGTTGTGTAACTTGTTTATGTGTTGATTTAAATATTATATGTACCCTCATGTGTTTGCTTTATTCACATTGTTCTATGTAAATTGGCGTCATCGATGTCGGAATGGAACTTTTCTTCGTGTAGGTGGAAGTGTTTCATAGTTTATTTCTTAAGGTTGATTAATTGCTTATACTCAATCGGTCTAACCTACTGAGTACTTGTGGATTGTACTCACCCCCTACTTTTGTTATCCCTTTTGATGCAGATCCTAGTCAAGACAATCTTCGTAGTGGCTAATCGGATCTAGCAATTTCTTATCTTTCGAAGTTGTGGTTAGTTCCTGCTTTCCGAATCAACATTGGTCTTCATCTATCATTTACATTATTTAATTTCTTCTCGAAGACTTGAGATGTATTGCAGAATACAGAAATGTATTAGATGCTCTTTATACTTATGCTACTAGATTTTGGGAATTTCTTTGTTGTTTCTAATTGGTTGTGGTTTGACTTCCCTTTAAGAGTCTTGTATGTGTATTTCTTTTGGCTTATACACTATTTTGGGGTTCTCAAGGTGTCATCATGATCTCAACTTTTGGGTCATTACAATAAAAATGGATAAACGCAATGGTTAATATGGGTATTCGTATTACCTATTACTTCCTGTTATGTAGAAAAATGCGTACTTTCATTACAAGATTTTTCCTTCGAATTTTAGAAAAATATTTTCATATTTTTATTAAAAATTTAGGTTGAGGTTGAGAGGTCAAAATTTGGGCCTTGGGTCTGATCAGGAGTCGGGATCAAAACTTGGATCCCACATCTGCACTCATTTCGGATAGTGAGGTTTAAACAAAGTTTTAAGTGATACTTTCTAGGACCTAATCCTTGCAATCGATTCTGGATTTGGTCCCGACACTCGACTCGAGTTCTGACTCACTCCCAATCTGAGATCTGACATTAAAACTAGGATTTGACCCCAACCTTGCAACACAAACTAAGGCACAATCCTTACAAACCATTGGAAATCCAACCCCCAAGACCTGACATTGACTCCAAATTTAGGACTAGACATTCAAACTAGAAGTCGATCCTGACACCCTAACCTCGACACATGACCCAACCTTTCGAATCGATACTCGACCCCTACACCCCACTTGGGACTCGACCCCGACCTTAACACCCAATCGAAGATCCAATCCTGACCCCGTCCTGATCTAGGAACCAATATTCAAATCAGGATCTAAATTTGACTCCCGACTTCAAAACCAAATTTTTGAGTCGAAATTCAATCTTAATATTCAACTTGGAACCTGACTTTTGAACTGTTATCTGACACTAACACTCGAACCAAGACACGACTCTAACACTGGTCAAGAATCCAATTGTGAGACTTAGTGGTGTACATAAATACATAAAACCAAAAAAATTGACCGAACTAAGTTAATTCAGTTATTCGATTTTGATTCTTCAGTTTTTTAGTTCGGTGTCGATGTATTTTTTCAAAAGTTTGATTCTTCGTTGGTGTTCGGTGTAAGGGTCTCAAAACTTTATATATATATATGTGTGTGTGTGAAACATCCCGCCTTAGAAAGAGCTAAATTTAGAAAGCGCTAAATTGAGATTTGTGCAAGTTATTCTTAGATTTTGAGTTTTGGGTCAACTTCAAACGGCCATAACTTTTAGTACAAAATGAGTTAGGTGGCCCATAAGATACAAAATGAAAGAACTCTGAGTCCTCATTCCAACGCCACCAAGTTTACTAAAATCTGAGTTCGAATGAGGGAGATATGCCCGTTTGAGTTCATCATGTCCAGTTAAGAAAATTTACCCGAATTGATGAGGGGTATTTGGTCTTTCTCTTAACCCATCAACTTTAAACATTTTTAGTAATATTTTAGGGGTCTAAACTGATTTGGGTCAGATTTCACAATTCTAAAATACGTTTAGCGTTTTGAAAGGAGTTTAAGAGGAGAAAAAAGGAGAGGTTCAAGACGTTCGTCAAGATTCTTGAGATTTATCGGGGAATTGCACCAAGGGTTTGATCCCTAAGAGGTATGTAAGCTCTCATAGTGTTGGGTTCATTCACCCACACGCTAATCATGTGATTTTAATCCAAAATTTCGTTCTTGGGGTCGAATAATTGAGTTCTTGATGAGTTTTCTTGATGTTTCATTTCATAAATCTTTAATAATGAGGTTTGATGAATTATTGAGATGAATGTTAGGATTTTGAGGGCTGTTTATGAGTAGATTTTCGTTTACTAAGGTTGAGTATTCGAATCTAGGAAAGTTTGGAAGAAACCATTCGATTCTAGGTGATTTAGGACTAAAAATCAAAGAAGAAAATTCGTCGGAAATTTCTGGGCAGGGGCTGGCGCGCCGCGTCAGCAGTGCGCCAGAAAAGAGGTTCTGAAGTTTAGGGGCTGGCGCCCCGCGCCACTCAGTGCGACGGGTTGCCTGCCCCGTCCTTTTTTCTGTCGTTTATCCCGTCTAAGTTCCTTTAAAGTATACCTTTACTCCATTTCTGATTTTAATTATTCTAAATCACATTTATTCATCATGAGATCCTTCATATCATGAATCATAACTCTTGAATTCATAATTCAAATTCAAGATAGAGTTAAGAGTAGAGTTCGGGGGAGTTCTTTTGAGTCATTTGAGAAGTCTTTTGCAAACTTTTAAAGCTTGGTTTAAGACTTGAGTACTTGAGTATCAGGATGAGGAGAGTTGAGTTTCATTTTTCAAAATAAATATATGGGAACTAAGTATTCCCAAGAGTAAATATTTTTACATTTAAAACGAGTGGAAACATCGATTTCCAAATGAGTTCATGAGAAGTTTTTGAGTATAATCTCTTTTAAGAGAAATCTTTTGAGTTATAATCTCAAAGTTTGAGGATGAGGAGATGTTTTTAAACATATGAGCTGAGTTATATTATTGGGAGTAGTATTGAGTAGCGATATGAGGACAAGTTCAATCAACTCAAAGTCCTCATAAACCATGTAGCCAACGTGGGTAGAAAGGGTCATACTTTTTAGATGATTCCTTATTGATTTTTAAGCATATCTTAGGGGATCCACTTAGTTGAGGATGTCTTATACTCCGGCAAGGTATAAGACAGTTCTGGCAGCGTAGGCGAGACGTTATATCATCACATAGCTCATAGTGATGGTTGTCGGTTAGAGAATCTCCCAAATAAGAGTAAAAGAGTTATTATAATATTTTTAAATAAATTGAGTTATTATTTATTGTTTTAAATGTTTTCTTGATAGTGCATCTTTATTGTTGCTTTTATATTGAACTTAGTTGAGTATTTCTAAGTTTGAGTATCTTTGAGTTGAGATGAGGTGAGTATGTTATTCTTTTATCAATTCAAGCTTATGTTTGTGCTTTAGAGTTCCCCTTGCATGCTCGTACATTCCATGTACTGACGCCATTTGGCCTGCATCTTTCATGATGCATATACAGGAGTTCAGGGTCATCAACAGGCGCATCGTTGATACGACTTGCGGTTCTAGAGTTGCTTTGGTGAGCCTCTTTGCTTCCGCAGGATTCCCACTTATTTTTTAGTTTTTAGGATGTTGTGGGTCTTGTCCCGACTTCCATCATTGTCATTAGAGGCTTCATAGACAGTAATAGTTGAGGAGTCTTTTCCATTTTCATTTTGTTAATGTTTAAGACTTGAGTTGCCTCTTGTGGCTAGTTCGAATATTTTTAAATGTTCTAAGTTAATCATCTTGAGACTTGAGTTAAATCGTTTTGTCATGAGTTGAGTTACTTTTGAGTTCTTATATTTATGAGTTAGTCTCCCGATGAGTATTGAGTCAGGCCAAGGGTTCGCTTGGGAACCAACATGGTTCTCGAGTGCCAGTCGCGTCCAGGGTGTAGGCTCGGGGCATGACAAACTTGGTATTAGAGCCAGATTTCATTAGTCCTAGGTTTTCTATGAAGCCGTGTCTGTAAAGTCTTAGTTATTGGTGTGAAGCGCGTCACATCTATAATTAGGAGGATACGACATTTAGGAATTATCTCACTTCTTTCATACTCTTTTCATGCGATAAAGTTCATCTCTATAAAAGTTTCATTCTAATACATGCTTGCGTGTATCTTTCAGATCATGCCTCCACGAAGAGATATTCGAGGTCATCCTGCTATGAGGAATGTTGATCCTCAAAATCAAGGGATACCCAATGCGCCAAAAGTGCAACCCCAAGGAGAGGTCGCTAATGCTGAGTTTCGGGATGCTATCCGGATATTGAGTCAAGTTGTGACCAATTAATTTGGGCTACAAAGAGGGAATCTATAGGATGTGGCTGATACATCCAGGATCTGTGAGTTCTTAAGGATGAATCCTTCAAACTTCACCGGTTCAAGTGTCACTGAGGATCCGAAAAACTTTGTGGAAGAGTTGCAGAAAATATTTGAGGTGATGCATGTTGCATATGCTGAGTGTGTGGAACTAACTGCATACCAAATGAAGGGTGTTGCTAGAGTATGGTACGACTAATGGAGGAAGAGTAGAGCTAAGGGTGCACCAATTGTGAGTTGGGTTGTGTTCGAAGAGGCCTTCATGGGGCATTCCTTTCCCCGTGAACTAAGAGAAGCAAAAGTAATGGAATTTCTCACTCTTAAGAAGGAATCCATGAGTGTACACGAGTACAACCTTAAGTTCACTCAACTGTCCTGTTATACTCTGGAGATGGTTGTTGATATGAAGAGCAGGATGAGCTTATTTGTGTCTTGGTTTTCTCGTCTGTCAAGCAAAAGGGGTAAGGTTGCGATGTTCATAGGGGACATGGACATAGCAAGGCTTATGATCCATGTGCAGCAGGTTGATGAAGATAAGTTGAGAGATAGAGGAGAGTTCCGGAACAAGAAGGCCAAGACAACCAGTAATGAGTCTGGCCAGCAGAAAGGTAATGCGAACCGGCCATCTTTTCAACAAAAGCCAACTGGACTTGTTTCATCATCTGCTAGTGCACCTGCACCAAGGAACAAAGGTGAGTTTAAGAATTATAATTCTCAGAACTTCAGAGCTAGACCTACACAATCTCAAGGTAGTGTGGCACAAGGGGGTAATTGGACTCCTGCATGTGCTAAGTGTGGTAGGAACCACCCAGGAGTGTGTCGTGATGGATCCACTGGTTGCTTCAAGTGTGGTCAAGTAGGTCACTTCATGAGAGAGTGCCCGAAGAACATGCAGGGTAATGGTAATAGGGGAAATAGAGCCCAATCTTCTTCAGTGGCTCCGTCACACAGAGCTACACCTAGAAAAGCTACTTCAATCTTCAGGGACAGGCGGAGGAGAAAACAGCATGTATGCTATCACCAATAGCCAAGAGAAAGAGAATTCACTTGATGTTGTCACTGGCATGATCAAAAGTCTTTACTTTTGATGTATATGAATTGCTTGATCCAAGTGCGAGTCTATCTTTTGTGACTCCATATATTGCTATGAGATTTGATATCTTTCATGAGCGACTTCTAGAGCCTTTCAGTGTTTCCACACATGTGGGTGAGTCTATTTTAGCTGAGAGAGTTTATCGTGATTGTACCATTTTTGTCAATCACAAGGACACCATGGCTGACTTAGTTGAGCTAGATATGGTGGACTTTGATGCTATTCTAGGTATGGACTGGCTTCATGCATGTTATATGCCTCAGTTGATTATAGAAATCGATTTGTAAAGTTTAAGTTTCCTAATGAGCCTGTTATAGAGTGGAGGAGTAGTTCAGTAGTGCCTAAGGGTCGTTTTATTTCGTACCTTAAGGCGAGAAAGTTAGTTTTCAAGGGGTGCATCTATCACTTAGTCTGAGTTAATAACTCTAGTGTTGAGACACCACTTATTCAGTCAGTTCAAGTTGTGAGCTAGTTTTCAAAAGTCTTTCCAGATGATCTTCCCGGAGTCCCCCCTAAGAGATAAAAAGACTTCAGTATAGATATTTTTCCTGATACTCGTCCTATCTCTATTCTGCCGTATAGAATGGCTCCAACTGAGTTGAAAGAGTTAAAAAAAGTAGTTGAAGGACCTTCTTTATAAAGGTTTCCTTCGACCCAGTATCTCACTTTGGGGCGCTCCGGTCTTGTTTGTGAGGAATGCGCTCTAGTCTTGTTTGTGAGGAATAAAGATGGTTCACTTAGGATGTGTATTGATTGCTGCCAATTGAACAAGGTTACTATCAATAATAAGTATCCCCTTAAGAAAATTGATGATCTTTTCGATCAACTTCAGGGTGCCACTTATTTTTCTAAGATAGACCTCAGATCTGATTATCATCAGTTGAGAGTAAGAGAGAGTGATATTCCAAAGACTGCATTCATGACCTGCTATGGTCATTATGAGTTTCTAGTCATGTCTTTTGGTCATCTATGTACCCTATCAATATCGCATCCTTACCCTTTTTGCTTGACAGACGAGACAACCCAGACACAAACAAGCTCATCTTGCTATTCATATCAATAACTATCGCAGGGGAATAACGGGACAATTGAGTGATCTTAAGGTTGTACTCATGCACACTCATGAATTCATACTTCAAGTTAAGAAAATTTCTTACCATAGCCTCCCTCACCTCACGGTGAAAGAAACACCCTAAGAAGTTCTCTTCGAAGACAGCCAAACTCACAATTAGTGCCCCTTCAACTCTAATCTTCTTCCATTGGTCGTACCAGACTCTAGCAACACCCTTTAGTTGGTATGCACGCAACTAGTTCCACACGCTCAACATCTACAACATGCATTACCTCAAATACTTTTTGCAACTCTTCCACAAAGTTTTCTGGATCCTCAATGACACTTGAACCGATGAAGTCTGGAGGATTCATCCTTAAGGGCATCTCCAATCCAAACACTAAATTTTACACCAAATTTGGTGTCAACACTATTTTTGGTGTAATCAACTTCAATCCACTGCACCAAATTTTACACCAAAAATGAATATTCTTCTCTCTCTTCATTATTATATTATTATTTCTTATTTCATTTATATTTTTTTATTTCATAAAACAAATTCTTTCTAAAACATTCACCATATATAATTCATATTATTTCCTTTTATAATCGTTTAATATAAAATTATTTTGTACCATATTTTTTAAATAATATAAATTGTTAGAAAATATTATACACTATACATAATAATGGATAATACAAATAAAAATGAAATCATTAATGAAATACAATTAAATAAACATTACATAATTGAAAATTTATTTTAAATTTTACATAAATATTCAACTTTCAAGATCACTACGGTTAAATGCTCTATTAATGCATTACGTAGTTCAAAATGAGCTATTTTTTCCTTTATTTTTTTATATCGAGCTAGAAATTATTGATATTGATAATTTTCATCTATTTCCATTTCTACGGTCGGCGTTGAACCTTCCGACGCACCTTGAATTGGTGCATTAAGATCACGTGCATCCTCAATTATCATGTTGTGCATTATAATACATGAAGTTAATATATACATAAAGTTAATATATCATGAAGTTTAAATTATTATGTTTTGTTGTACTTTTTAAAATTACTATGTATTTTATATTTCAATTTTGATGTATGTCAATTACTACTTTATTGAATGTTTATTATTTTCGATTATTTTTAAATACATTGTATTATTTGTTTAAAAATTTATATGTTTGCATTTTTAATTTTTGTGAAGGTTAATTGTAGTTATATCCAATTATAATTTATAGTAGAATTAACAGGAATTTAATTTTTTTTAAAGTCATATATAGAAAAAATAATTTATAAAAAAGCTAAATTTTATATCTAAAATTAATATTATAAAAATATTACATAAAAATAATTAAATATACAAGAGATTTAATTAAAACATACAATTTATATAATGTTTAATTAAAAGTTTGTATAATGAAATAATATTAAAATATTCAAAAAGTGAATTGGTGTGATGAATAGTGTTACACCAAATTTGGTTAAAAATTGGTGTGGGTTGGAGCTCAAAACACTAAATTTTACCAAATTTAGGATTTGGAGTAAAATTTGGTGTTAGGTTGGAGATGGTCTAAGAACTCACGAATCCTGAATATATCAGCCACATCCTGTCGATTCCCTCTTTGTTGTTCAACTTGGTTGGTCACAACTTGACTCAACATCCGGATAGCATTTCGGAACTCAACATTAGTGACCTCTCCTTGGGGTTGCACTTCTGGTTCATTGGGTACCCATTGATCCTGAGGATCAACATTTCTCCTAGCAGGATAACCTCAAACAACTCTTCGTGGAGGCATGATCTAAAAGATACGCACAAGCATGAATTAGATCGAAACTTTTATAAAGATGAACTTTATCGCACGAAAAGAGTATGAAAGAAATGACATAGTTCCTAAATGTTGCAGCCTCCTAATTATACATGTGGAGCGCTTCACACCGATAATTAGGACTCTACAAACATGGCTTCATAGACACCTTAGGACTCTTAAACTCTGTGCTCTGATACCAAGTTTGTCACGCCCTGAGCCTACACCATGGACGTAACTAGCACTCGAGAACCATTGCTGGCCACAAGCGAACCATTGGCTTGATTCAGCTCTCAGTGGAAGACTTACTTCACAATAAATGAACTTCAAAAGTAAAGATTTAACTCAATATCTCAAAATAGATACTCAGAATGTTTTAAATAAAACATTCACTGGCCCAAAGAGGCAACTCAAGTCTAGAACATTAACAATTGAAAATGAAACGAATTTCTTAAAACTCTACTGTCTATCTATGAAGCCTCTAACAACTATAATGGAAGTCGGGACAAGACTCACGACATCATAATACGACTGAAAGTAAATGTGGGAATCCTCCGGAAGTAAGGAGGCTCACCAAAGCAACTCGGGGACTGCAAGTGGTATCAACGAAGCACATGTTGATGACCCTAAACTCCTGTATTTGTATCATAAAAAATGCAGACCAAATGACATCAGTACATGGAATGTACGAGCATACAAGGGGAACTCTAAAGCACAAACATAAGCTTGAATTAATAAAGGAAAAACATACTCACCTCATTTCAACTCAACTCAACTCAAATCAAGGATACTCAAAGATACTCCAACTCAAAAAATACTGAACTCAGTTCAATATAAAAGCAACAATAAAGACGCATTATAAGGAAAGCTTTTAAAACAGTAGATAATAACTCAATGTATTTAAGAATACAATAATAACTTTTAGTCTTATTTGGGAGATTTTCTAACCGACAACCATCACTATGAGTTATGTGATGATACAACGTCTCGTCCACGCTGCCAGAACTGTCCTATACTTTGCCAGAGTATAGTACATCCTCAAATAAGTGGATCCACTAAGCTAAGCAATAAGAAATCATCTAAAAAGTATGACCCTTTCTATCCACGTTGGCTACATAGTTTATGAGGACTTTGAGTTGTTTGAACTCGTTCTTATATCGGTGCTCAATACTACTCCCAATAATATTACTCAACTCATATGTTTAAAAACATTTCATCATCTTCAAATTTTGAGAATATTACTCAAAAGGCAGAAGGCCTAAGAGAGATGGGGAACTTCTCTCCTATAAATCTTCTTTGCACGAGCTTCTGTAAGCCCCGAAACAGACTCCAATTACATGTGTGAAGCATCGTGCCATTTCAAATCAATCAAGTGAGGAAGCCATAATTAGGTTCTCTTAAAAGAGATTATACTTAAAAACTCATCATGAACTCATTTGGAAATCGACGTTTCCTCTCATTTTAAATGTAAAAAAAATTTACTCTTGGGAATACTTAGTTCCCATATATTCATTTTGAAAAATGAAACTCAACTCTTCTCATCCTCATACTCAAGTACTCAAGTCTTAAAACAAGTTTTAAAACTTTGCAAAAGACTTTTCAAAATGACTCAAAAGAACTCCCTCGATCTTTACTCTAAACTCTATCTTGAATTTGAATTATGAATTCAAGGGTTATGACTTGGATATACGTATTTCTCAATGATTAGATGTAGTTTGGATAATTATAATCAGGAAGAAAGCAATGATATGTTTTAAAAGAACTTAGACGGAACAAACAATGAAAAGGAGCAGGGGCAGACTGTCTTGGCGCACTGAGTGGTATGGGGCGCCAGCCCCTAAACTACAAAGCACCATTTCTGGCACACCGCAAGCACGGCGCGCTAGACACTGTGTCGCATCAGCGGCGCATCGCACCACCCCTTCACCAAAACCTACCGACGAAATTTTCTTCTCGATTTTTTACCCTAATTCGCCTAGAATCAAATTATTTCTTCCAAATTCTCTTAGATTCGTTTATCCAACTTAATTACATAAAAATCTACTTGAAAACCCTTAAGAACATTA